ACGCTCCACCTCGTCCCTGCATGGTCCTGGAAGCCCCATTCCTGTGTCTCCCTCTCTCCAAACCCTGCCTGCTCAGGGTTTGAACAAAAGAAAGATACCAAAAGCCTAGTTTGGTATCCTTGGCTACTATTGCAGCGTCCTCCCCTGAAACTGCCAGCTAGTTACCCAAGTCCCTGCCTAAGTGCTTAGCTTTTGACCATACCTGGGCACAAACCCAGCTTGTAGCGGACACATCATCACCCCTCACTTACAACCTATAAAATTTTTCCTGTGCTGACTTGGGCATGTAGCTTCCCTGGCCTTGTTCTCTGAGACCATGAACCTTTCCAGTTGTTCACAATAAACCTGCTGTTACACTTTTTCAGTTCAGCTTGATCTGGCTTACTGCATCAGTGGAGAAACATCATTCGGGACAGAAACCTATTAACATATAGCACTCCATTTGATAATGGTTTGCTGCTGTGTATGTCCTACTTTGTGACTTGGTGGGTCAGATAACACCCAGCTTATGATTGGCAGCTTAGGTTTCTACTAAGACCCAATAGAGACAAAGAGCCACTTTCAAAGGGAAAATAGATGTCTGCAAATGATGGTAGAGCCTTGCTCCGAATCCCAAAGGTCTCTCTCTTCTGTGATCCACCAATAGGAGCCTGCCAAAGATTCTAAACAGCATGCCTGTCTGTCGTTGACAACTGAGTCCCATTGCATCTGCTGGATCAATCATATGATCCAAGTCGTTGAGCAGCCTGAACTTGTTGAAGGGCCTTCTCTGTTCCGGGATCCACATAAAGCTATCAGCTTTCCAAATCACTTGGTATTTGGGCTGGAGTGACACACCCAAGTGAGGAATGTGGTCTCCAGGATCCGAACAGGCCCACTGACTGCTGTGAGTCTTTCTTGGGGATGGGAGGGGCCAGGTGCAATATCTTATCCTTTACCTTGGAAGGAATCTCTTTTCAATGCCCCACACCACTGGACTCCTAAGAATTTCACTGAGGTAGAAGGCCCTTCAGTTCTGGTTAGATTTATTTCCCATTCTCTGGTGTGTCTATGTTATATCAATGAGTCCGAAGTGGTCGCTTGCTCCTGTTCACAAGGTCCAATCCGCGGCACAGTCTCAGCCCTCAAGAAGTAAACACAGGAAGATAAGGAAGGCAAGGTCACCCTCACCAGCTTAGTGAGCTCAAGGCCACCCCAAGCTACCAGAGATCCTGTTCAAAAAAGACCAAATAATAATAATAAAATAAAATAAATAAAAAAAAATTTGAAAGAAAGGAAAAAGAGAAAAAAAGGAAGAGTGTTTGTTCTGGGGTTGTTGAGTAGCATATTCTGTAAAATAGATAAAATTTATTGGCAGTGTTTTTGAGTTCTCTGCAAATTCAGGGGATTTTGGTTTGTTGTTGTTGTTTAATGATGTAAGGGTGCGTGTTTAATCCTGTAAAGATGTGCTGCATTTGTTTCACCTGGTCTGCCTAAGACACCTAATTAGTCTAATAAAGCTGAACGGGTTAATAGCCAGGCAGCAGAGGGATAGGTGGGACTTCTGGACTGAGAGTAAATAGGAGGGAAGAATAAGAAAAGAAGAAAGAGAGGGGCACAGGGGGGTAAGAAGCGGGCAACTGCCAGTCAGCAGCCACAAGAAACAGTGAAAGTAAGATATACAGAAGCAAAGAAAAGTAAACAGCCCCAAAATAAAAGGCAGTTAAAGAGAAACAGGTTGATTGAAAAGAGCTGGCCAGAAATGAGCCTATGTTAGGCTAGGCATTCATAACTAATAATAAGTCTCCATGCCATCTGGGAACTGGTTGATGGCCCCCAAAGAGAAAGCCTGGTACACCAATTGGCAGAATTAATGTATGCATCACCATGCCTACTCCAAGGACCTTCTCTGTCATGGACCATTTTCTTTGTTCTTTATTAGGTAATACAGCTGTTTACCATTCCTGCTATAATTTCCCCCTCTTGGTGGTAGCTTATTTGCTTTGCTTTTTTGTGTGTGTCTATATGTGTGCACATGTGTTTTCGTGCCCACAGAGGCTAGAAAAGGGTATGGGAGCCTCTTAAGCTAAAGTTATGGACAGTTCTGAGTCATTCAAAATGAGAGCAGGGATGGAACTCGGGAGCCTTTGGAAGAACAAGCTTAGCTTCCGTGCCATCTCTCCAGCCCCCCTTATCATTTGCTTTTAATTTTTTATTACGTTTATTTACTTGGGGGGAAGGGTGTGGAGGTGAGAGGACAACTTGCTGGAGACAGTTCTTTTATTCTACACTTTGGGTCCTGGGGATCAAACATGGGTCAGACTTGCCTGGCAAGTGTTTTAAGGGATGACCCATCTCAACAGTCCTGTTTTGTTTTGAGACTAGGTCTGGATATATAATTCCAACTGCCCTCTAATTCATGATGGTTCTCCTGCCTTTGTCTCCAGGGAATGGTGACTGCAGGCATGTATTACAGCACCTGTTTCTTACTACACTTTATTAATGTCTTATGATGCAGCTCCCTATTCATTTCTTTACTTTGGTTAGGTTTATGTAGCCTGCCTCGACCTTGAGAGTTGATATTATAGGCTAGCCCTACTACTCCTGGCTCAAAGGGTGTTGAAAATTTTCTTGGGTTATTAAGTCTAACTTATAATGCCTGAAATCAGAAGGAAAATTTATTCTATCCACCCATATTTTAGGGGTACTATGCTTTTTCTTCCTTCCAGTATCACCCAGCTCCTATTTTATTTTATATACTTATTTCATTTCTGTTTATCTCTGTGTATATGTGCCCATGGAGGCAGAGGCAAGTGCCACAGGCCAGAAGAAGAATGGGGTCACAGGCATGTGAGCCACCTGGTTGATGAGGGTGCTGGGAATAGAACTCGGGTCCTCTTGTAAGAGGACACATTCTTAACTGCTGAGCCATCTGTCCAGATCTTGGTTTCTTATTCTTCTTTTTTCTTTCTGTTTTGTGAACATCTAGTCATTCTTTACAAGGTCTGCTTAAGAAAAGCATTTTTATTCATCCCAGAGTATACTGATTGTGGTTGTTTGAATGAAAATGGCCCCATAGGCCCATCAGGAATGGCACTATTCGGAGGCATGGCCATGCTGGAGTACACATGGCTTTGTTGGAGGAAGTGTGTTACTGGGGTTGGGTTTTGAGGTCTCAGATACTCAAGTCAGGCCCAGTGTCTCACTCTCTTCTTGCTGCTTTCAGATTCAGACGTAGAACTTTCAGCTACTGTCCCACCCGAATATGCGAAACCCACTCTCCGATAAGAGTGCACGCTTCCCATACCGAACCATGAGCCTGGATCAATATCCTAGGAGTTAAACAGACACACACAGAGAGACCAGGATCATTTGCCCAAAGGGTAAATGTCAACTTTATTTAGCACATGTCGAGTTTATATACTTGGGGACAGAAGGATGAGAGCCCCGTCCCACCTGGGAGTGAGATCATGATGTTGGCCGCCTGGCGCCAGTGGCTTGAGAACTGAGGGGAAGGGGTGCCAGCAGCTGCCGTGTCAGCCGCTTCAGGCACCTTGGTGGGAACCTTTGCTTGCAGGTGGAATTACCATATCAAGAGGACAAAGCTCTCTCTAAGCTAATCCCCCAAGCTGGTGCAGTGAGCAGAGATGGCAGGAAGCTTAGGCTGGTAGGAGATACAGCCCTGCATAGTGCCTCAAAGAAAGGGGAAAAGGCCCGGGTACCAACAAGTTACCTCTCCAGGACCATGTCGGCTTGCATCCTGCCATGCTTCCCATTATGATGATAATGGGCTAAACCTTCCAACTGTAAGCTGGCCCCAATAAAATGTTTCCGTACAAGAGGCACCATGGTCATGGTGTCTCTTCACAACAATAGAAACTTAACTAAGACACTATTCTTTCTTTTCCTCCTCCTCCTCTTTCTTATTTTTCTATGGCTGTGATAAGACACCATGATAAGCTGGGTGATGGTGGCGCACACCTTTAATTCCAGCACTCAGGAGGTAGAGGCAGGCAGATCTCTGTGAGTTCGAGGGGCTAGCTTGGTCTACAGAGCAAGTTTCAGGACAGGCTCCAAAGCTGGAGAGAAATCTTGTCTTGAAAAACCAAGGAAAAAAAGACACCATGACCAAGGCAACTTACAGAAGAAAGGATTTATTTGGGCTTACAGTTTCAGGGGGTTATAGTCTGTGATGGTCTAAATGAGAGTGATCCCCATTGCCTTGTTTATTTGAATACTTAGTGTCCAGTTGGTGGAACTCTCTGGGAATGATTAGGAGGTTGACCTTGTTGAAGAAGGTGACAGTGGGCGGGTTTTCTAAAAGTGCATCACATTCTCAGCTCACCCTCTCTGCTTGTGCTTTTGGATCAAAGTGTAAACTCTCAGCTACACCAGTGCCACGCCCACCTACCTGCCTCCCAACCATGACTGAGAGTCACAGACTCAAACAAGGACATTGATTTAGATAAATCTGTGAAAGTAGGAGGAAAAGGCTGGTTATCTATCTGTCTATCTGTCTGTCTGTCTGTCTATCTATCTATCTATCTATCCATCTATCTAAATGAATGAAAGGTGTAATATGAATTCTAATTGATATTACTAATAAAAACCCAGAGTCCAATATTAGAGGGTGAAAACTGAGAGACCAGAGAAGCAATGCAGCCAGACACTAAAGACCTTTTACTTCTAACAAATCCTCAGACCAAAAGGGCGATCCTGTCATCAGACTGCCTCCTCTGACTGCATCTCAGACTGCTTGCTTCCTCAGATTGCAATGAGCTCTTGTCTCTTTCCACTTTATATTCCTCTCTCCACCCAGCCAGATCATTCCTGTCTCTACCTCCCTAGTGCTGGGATTAAAGGTATGGGATCCCAAGCGCTGGGCACCTTTCTGGGAGCTCTGTTACTCTTCTAGACTGGATCAATTTTGAGTAGCCCAGGGTGGCCTTGAACTAACAGAGATCCAACTACCTCTGTCTCCCATGTCCTGGGATTAAAAGTGTGTGCCACCACTCCCTGGCCTCTAGTGGCTTAGCTCTGCGCTCCGATCTTCAGGTAAACTTTATTTGTTAAAACACAAACAAAATATCACTACAAAAGGGCTGATGCGCTTGCAATGGAGACGGGACAATTATCCGGAAGGTAGAGAGTCAGCTATTCTGGAGCAGCAAGGACAGCTGTAGAACAAAAGCTTGAGTGTCTGGACTGAGAAAGAAAAAAAAATTAGATTGTATTTTCCCATTTTAAGCTATTGCAGTCAACAATTCTTTCCAGACCTAAAAGACACGGCTTTCCAATGGTTAACAGTAACAAGCTGTTTGGATTTTTCAGTCAACAAGGAAGCTGGTTGTGGTAATATAGACACCTATAATTTAAGCACTCAGGAGGATCAAGCCTTCAAGGCCATCCTTGGATACAAAGCAAGCTAAAGTTTAAGGATGGCACAGACTATAGAGGATCCTATCTCAAAATCAAAACAGTAAGACCCCATTTCTGTCCAAGCTTGACAGCGTGAGAGATGCCAATAAGGTTTCAGTTTCATATCTCAGAATCTCATCTTCCTAGTCATGGAATCATACTCAGGGTCACTCAAGGTTAAGGATAAAATTGATTAGGTCATCAGATTGAAGCAAAATCTATTTTGAAATTTTCTAATTACTTTAAAAACATATTAGGCCTGCAATTCTACTTAATTTCTCTTACTCAAGCAAAGTAGGACATGCATATTATACATACAAATAAGATGAGCTTTGGTCTTGAGGCTAGCAGCAAGCACCTTTATCCGCCATCACTGGTTCTTGTGGTTTTTCTTATGGAGACATTTCTTTCCTATTCAAGAAAGGAACAGTATAATGGAAGGCAGCGAGGCCAGTAGGTCTTTCTGAATCCTCCTTGTTACCAGATCCTAAATCTTTCCCTTTAACAGACTGAGGATTTCAGTGTGGAAAGACAGAACTATTCATATCAAAGCCTTGACTGAGATGGAAAAGGTCACCTGACCCACTCCATGAATTCCTCCCTGGCCAACAATGCTTCTGATTGTCTTTGCTTCATTCACGGTTCACAGAGCCAAACCTGTTAGAGCCAGCCAGCGGCTGTCCAAATTCACTTTCTTAGAAATAAACAGAAGAGAAAGGAAAGCTGTGGCCACTGAGATGACTCAGCAGATAAAGGGTCCACAGTCAAGTCTGACTGACCAGAGTTCTATCCTGGGGTCCTGCATTGTGAAAAGCCAGAAGGAACTCCCACAAACTGCCCTCTAACCTCAGCATGTGCGGGTCTACACATATACACAAAACAAACAAAAATGTGATTTTTAAAATTTTAGCTAAAAGCCTGTTGTGGTGCAAAATTAATCTCAGCACCAGGGAAACAGAGGCAGGGGGATATCTCCAAATTCCAGATAAGCCAGGGCTATACAATTAGACCCTGTCTCAAACAAGACAATTTTTTATTTTATTTTTTGGTTTTTCGAGATAGGGTTTCTCTGTAGCTTTGGAGCCTGTCCTGGAGCTAGCTCTTGTAGACCAAGCTGGTCTCAAAAACAATTTATTTTTTAAAAGGAAAGGAATAAAGGGAGAGATGAAGTTAGTAAATGGTTCCTTATCAAGATAACTTTTTATGGAGTATGTAAAACGATATTTAATATTTCCATGAAAGTATATTTACTTTTGATTTGAACTATTTAAGTACCTCCTTTACATGCTAATCCTTATATACATATTTATTTCCTCTCTGTGACAACGAGGAGAGTTAACCTGAAGACAGAGACTCTTCCCGAGTCAGAGGCTGGCGCTGGACCCAGATATGAGCAAGCTTCACTTTGAAAACTGGAATTCTTTCCTGTAAGGTGGCTACAGTGGAGAGGGCAAAGTCCACTGCCAAATCTCACTGTAAATCTCAAAAGTTCAAAAGTTAAAGTGTAAGCCAGGCAGGGTGGTGCGGACCTGTATTTCCCTAACTCAGAGAGGTGGAGAAAGCAGGACCAGAAGTTCAAGGTTAGCCTCCCAGTACTTAGCAAAGGCAAGACAAGCCAGAGATACAAGAAAATCTTTCTCAATACAAACAAGAAACCTCAATCTTAAAAAAAAAAAAAAAAAAAAGGCTTTTAAGGCGAAAAGTTAAAAGTTACATATACCTGCCAGCGCACAGTTGGAGTTGGGGAGTGGAGAGGATTCCAAAGATCACGTGGCCTTGGAGGGGCTCACGTTCCTTAGCCACTTAGAGTCTCCCTCCCCCATTGCACCTCTAGGTGTAATAATTCCCAGAGGCCGCGAGATGGTGCTAAGGTTGTGGCCCCGCAGAGGACAGTTAGGGCAACCTAAAGGAGATGATCATTAAAACAAGTATTTTACCCTTTCTCTGCCCAGTTTCACGGCCGGTATCCCAGCTGAACTCAGCAATAATCTCTGAACACTTCAGCGGCCCATGATGCCTCTCTCAAGACTTTCCCATCATCTCGCAGAGGCCGATCAGTCATTGGTCGGTATGAAGCTTTTGGGACTCTAAGGACACTGTCGCTTAAGCCTCTCTTACAGGCTCTGCTCTGCACATCAGTTCCCAGTTCTGGTCAGGCACCCACCTGTCTACCGAGCCCCGGCCACCCTGGAGGTTTACTCCTCTAAACAGACTGGTCGCGAATTCAATGCTCTCCCCTAACCTTCCCACCATCCACCTAATTAGATCTCCCCCAAATGTGCTCCAAGGATACCCTCGGCAATTTGTACTGGGCGATTATTTTGAAGCTCTGTAAATGCCGCGTGGATCTAAGCACCCAGCGGAGCAGACAGCTGAGCTAAACAACGGAATGAATGAAAGAAAGGAGGGAGAGGGACAGAGACGAAGACAGACACACACAGAGAGAAGAAGAGAGGGAGAAAGAATATGAATGAACGTGAACTGGATTTTGCCGGCTACCGACATCACCCCATCAGATTTCGGGTGCCCTGCATCGCCTGGGTGGACCTCCAAGTGCGGAGGAGCTGACAAATCGCCCGAGGGGCGGAGTCTCCGTGAGCCACCCGGCTCCCGGCGAGCCTGCGCGCCAGGTGAACTTTTGATTTCCGTGTTCACGTGGATCGGGGCAGGTGGAGCGGAGGGGGGGAGGCGGGGGACGGGAAGAAACTGGGCGCTCCCCTTGAGCGGAGGGCGGGTGGCTCCAGGGGTCACTAC